GTTTTCCCGGGGTGCATTGCTCCTGTAGCCCCTTTCGTAGCACAACTGGTTTTTCTATTTGAGAAATTTCTGTACAACGTAACGTCACGTAGAACAGATCCGTTTCGCAAATGGAGATACTACTGTATACTAAATAAGGATTTGTTCTATTAACAGCAGACTTAGGATTTTTCATCTAAAGCTTTAAAAACTAAGGAGTAACAGAGTAGTCAGTTCAAAACTTGGTCTGATGTTTGAGAAAATCAGTCAGCATATTCTGTTCTGAGATTCATCCTCTCTTTGATTTTCAATTGCTAAGTTAAAGCACAAATCAGAATCTTTCAAGATCTTTGTTCACAAGTCTAATTTAGAGGCTGACATATCTAATGGTCTTATAAGAGAGTTGACAAATAAGTGTGTGGAAGAGGTGCCTTACTGTTGCTGCTCATGCTATTTGTGTACAGGGCAGAGAATTTTTACTGAGGCACTCAGCCCAATGTCACACAAAGGATACTGAACACTGAGCAGCTGAAATTAACATGACAGAACAACTGCATGGAATCCATGATCAGCACAGAAAGGTTGTGTCCTGAAAGCAAAGAATTTCCCCTTGTTTTATTTTTGGTTGCATGACTGTCACATCACAAAGAGATACCTAGTGAAGAAATTTCCTCTTCCTGCGCTACTGTTTGCGAAGTACTCTTAAAAATGTCAAGACAAAGAAGTAAAACTATCAGGAGAAATGACTTACCTATTTACCTTAATCTGCAAGAGACTGTGTGTAGGCATCCTGCAGTCTCGAGACACTATGGTAACGTGCTCTGAACAGAGGTCTTGGAAGAGCATCTATTGTGGCTGAGAAGGCCAATTCCAGAGTGACAATCCCTTCCACATTGAAGACAAATACAATCTGTTTGTATTGCAAGAGACTAGGGCTCTTGGAAATAATAATCCATTTCGGAATTACCTGCTTCCTCCATCTTCTTCCACCACCAGCATGGCTGCATAAAATCCTGAAACTTCTCTTTCTCGTTGTAGATAGCTTGCAATATCATCAGACCTTGGACACAATGAGATTAATTGTAGAGTATCCTATGTTTTGAAACAAGCCAATTTTGAGTCATAGTTTTATGAACTGGTGTGATTCAACCAATCACACTTTAAAGTTCTGATGGTGCTAAACTATGGTTGATCTAAAAACACAAATATACACTTAGGGTGTTCTTATGGTAACCAATAGAGAAGAATGGGGGAGTGCAAAATCCTCAAGGATTTTTGATGCTCTATTTTGTAACACAAAATTGTGATTCAGCACTACATGCAAATATAGTCAGTGCACATAGGTAAAGGTTCCCCTTGACATTTAGTCCAGTTGTGTCCAACTCTAGGGGATGGTGCTCATCCCCGTTTCCAAGCCACAGAGCCAGCATTTGTCCGAAGATAGTTTCCGTGGTCACGTGGCCAGCACGACTAGACTCTGAACGCTGTTACCTTCCCACCAAGGTGGTACTTATTTATCTACTCGAATTTTACCATGCTTTCGAACTGCTAGGTTGGCAGGAGCTGGGACAAGCAACAGGAGCTCACTCTGTCACACTGATTCGATCTTACGACTGCTGGTCTTCTGACCTTGCAGCACAGAGGCTTCTGTGATTCAGCACTACATTCAAATACAGCCAATGCACATATAGGAGACTAAAAGTATGATGGCCAAATATAATAGGACTGCAGAAAACATCTTAAACTAGCATGCCACAGGGAATGGCTGGAGCTATTATTGTTTAACTTTTGGATTATCTTAAAATGGCATTTTATAAATTTTATCCAGAAGCACTAAATTTGAAGTATATTTAGGCCATGATCCTGTACATACTTCCCTGGGAACTAGTCTAATTGAACAAAGCAGAGCTGATGTCTGAAAAGGCCTGTGCGGAATTAGCATATAAAAGTGACAGTTTATCAGATAATTTTATTCAAACTAAAATAGTAGGAAATTGATGCTATTAATACTTTACTAAAAAAGGAACAGTATACATTTCATTTGTGGACATGTCATGTATTCCAGGAGGTGGTGTACATTTCTAAGTATCCACGCCAGTTAGTTACTCTCAAGGGCTTTTCTCCACCCACACTGTAGAGAATGATTCACAGTACTGAAATTAAAGTTTGCAAGTGATCCAAAAACCAGATTTGGTTGTACTATTAAGTTCAGTAAGAAACAGAGCACAGTGGATTGTTTAAAACTAACCATTAGAAAACTGATAACATGTTACACTCAGTAACAGACAATTCTAGATTTTGAAGCACATTTTCCAATGATACCGCATATCGTCATACAGAAAGAAAAAGGAGTATAACCTAAAGTATCATTTGCCTATTTGCATGAGGTTGCCTGCTGCAACATTTCAGTTTCCGATACCATTCCATATTAAAATAATCAGTTGGACTGCGTTACTTGGCCTGCGGTGTAGATGTTTGTATTTTTAGTGGGGGACTTTTAGTGGGTGGGGAGTGTTTGGGGAATTTTATGTGTGTGCATGTGTCTGGTCTCTGGGTGTCTGTGAATTTCGTTGTATGGGTATACTGTGTATGTACTTACAATGACAATAAATTATTATTATTATTATTATTATTATTATTATTATTATTATTATTATTATTATTATTTCTCATAATTGGCCTTACAGATGTTTCAAGAATTCTCATAGTCAGACACATAATAAATAAGAACATATGTTCAGTGCTAGATCTGTCTGAAAGTAAATATAATCCAGCATTCTAATTCACTATAGCTAATGAGATACTCCTGGAAAGACTTTAACCTGCAAAATCAGTGCCAAAGCACCCTCTAGTTATTTTCCCCAATGAGTGATATTAAGAAGAATATGTCTGAGATGAGATTAATATTTCATACCAGTATAACCAGTAACACATTCTGTACTTTTTTCTTTATTCAAAGATATTTCTGAAATCATCACAATAGGAATTTCTCATTATGTAGTGGCCAAAATTCTCTTGCATGACTACACCATCATAATGCTAACAGCCTAACTTCTGTTTTTAATGTTTGTAAGGTCTTATACTTTTTTTGAATTTTATTTATTAAGCAATTTAAGTTACTGTAGTTGATCTGTGATTTGTTCTATTGATTTATTTTACGATGTCATATAAATTTGTTATGTTGTACCTTCTGATTATTAATTGTGTTTAGTTCTCTGTTGCACACTATCCAGTGTGGCCCCAGGCCAGATGGTGCAGTATAAAAGTATAACAAATAAGCAAACAAGCTGAAGTTATGAAATCGCTATCTGTTGCATGCTAATTCACACAACTGAGTACAGTATGCAACAGATAATATCTTCCCCAATTTTGTAACAATTTTCTTCATACAACTTTCAAAGAAAAGATCCAGCTGATGAGAATGAGTAACAAGACTGCACTATGAAGAGTGAGAAAGAGGAAAACGGGCAGATGCAAATCAACAAATAACCAAACTAAAGGAATTCCTCCTGTGACTGACTTTGCTGTTACCAACACAACCATTTAAACCTTGGGAAGGGAGTAGTGCTCCAAGAGACAAAGTGAGAGAGCTAAACAGAATTGCCACACTTCAGCACTCAGGTCTACGGTCTACCAAAGAAAGCATTTTTGCAACAAAGCACAGAAATCCTTCCGTCTTTTTCATAGATTCTCTCACTTTCCCTTCTAAGACAATAAAAAGGAGGAAAATGGAAGGAAAAAAACCCCACAGAAATTTAAACAACAATGAAGTGGAATGTACTAGTTGCACAAGAAATGAACCCCCGTGACTTACGATATGTTGGAGAAATGTTCCAATCTTACTAACACAGCTTCCTTCTAAAAACAATTATGGCATTTCTGGACTAGTATCAAGAACATAAATGGATTTTACTTTGCTAAAGCACATGTATAAGTTAAGGTATTGTAAAATAGAACGCTGGCCCTTTACAAGACATTTACCCTTTCAGAGGAGGCAGTAGATTTGGCCATCTGTACATAATTTCATCTGTCCTGGCAACCAGCTGAACCTGCTTCCATGCTATAGCTCCCATGTTGCTAACATTCCCTATTGATGTGCATGGCAGGAACATGAATTCCATAACCTCAAACCAATAAAAAAGACCCTGTTTAACAGATAGTGTAAGTGCTTTACATGGCTGTTAGGAAAAACAAAGACAACAGACCTTGTTCCTGATTTAACAAAACAAACCATTTCTTTTAGGGAGTAAATCCATCTCGTACAATATTTGATATTCCCCTTTTCCTGCGGCCTTCCACCTTTACAGGCTTTATTGTCTTTTCCACAGAATCCTGCCTAATTCAAAGTATTTTTTTAACTGACATGACACAAAGGCTGATGCAAATATTTAACTGACCACATGACACAAAGGCTGATGCAAATGGGCCCAGCCCTTTTTGCTCCCAAAGATACTTTTTTCTGTGCCACTGGGGGACTGTGTGTGTGTCTACTTTTTCAAGCCAGAACTATTTGAATGGGCTTTTCCCCATGTGATTAGTTGTGATACATCCTTGTGAAGATGGAGGAGAGCCTGTAGGTGGTGTTTCCGTGACACAGGCAGTTGCAGTGTGATGTTGAGGACCACGGGAACCCACCACCATTCTTTCCTCTTCCACAATTATCCTCCAATTTTTTAAAAATATTAATTACATACACAAGATTAGTGCTAGATCACCCTTTTACAGGCTCCTTATTATTTACACACCATAAAAGGGTCAGCAGGGCCAAGACCACAGAAAGAAAGAAACTGCATGCTGCAATGTGAAACATCTGATATGAATGATGAACATCCAAATCAATCTGTCGCCCCTGTGCGAGCACTGACTGTTATTTCAAATGTCATACAAGCTGGAAATCAAACTGCAGCAAAACCAAATTGCTCTGATTCAGCTTTTCCGTGTTGTTGCACCCAAAACTGTGGTTGGTGGCAGCTTAGTAACTGTGTGATAGATCCCAGTAGGTCTGGGTTTGTCACACAAACCATCCTCAAGCCAACTTCTTGTAAACTGTCAAGTTTTAGATTGATCTGTTGAGCTATTTTCTGATTATAATGACTGGAGGCTGTTTGCATGACTTCATCCATATTACTTCAAAATAGGTAAGATTCCGAATACATAGGCAGGAGGGCAAGAGCTATGTGGCTCTCGCTTTCAACCATCTGGTCTCTTGTGGATGTCCTGTAGAGAAAACCATTAGGCAGAAGAGTAATTTAATTACATGAAGGAATCTATGACATCTTAAAGCTAAAAAGCTTTAGTTAATATAAGCTTTGGTAGATTACACGCCAGCTCATTGGAGGTAACTCATACGTTTGCTCAAAGAGCAACAAGAGGGTAGGCTGTGTGCCCCGTCATGTTCTTTCAGCACACATAAAACAATTCATGTGAGCATCTTCAATCTGAAAAGCACTGCAGTGTCACACAATTAAGTTGAACTAAAGACAATGCCCAAAATAAAGCTTCCACAATCAACATGCATGGCACTTCATAACACAAGGTCACCCAACAAGCAAACAGCCCAGTTATTTAGAAAGCAAGTCCCAGCATAACACTTTTATTCCAGAAAAAATGGTTACAGTGGTACAGTATATCACAATAACACAGATCCACGGTTCATTTCCCCGTCTCTCCCACGCTAAAAGCCCAAATTGGCCACCTATTAATATTGGGTGTTGTGTTATGAAACTCAATGTATTTCCTTGTCTCTCGCCCGCAAAAACCGAAGCCACACGTCTTTGCAGGATCGTTGATAAGCACTATTGATTTAAAAAGGAAAAAAACCCGAGACCACGATTGCTTTTTAAAAGAGACCAGCGAAGCTGCGCGAGGAGAAACATTCTAGAAAAGCAAGTTGCAAAGGTTTTGCTGCAACATAACCCATCTATCTACCCACCCATATTCATCTCTCTCTCTCATATATATGAGCTGCCTCCAATCATGAGCCTTATGGAACTGGCATCATACACACACACACACACGTATACAGACATACATACACATATCCACACATATAGAAAACTCTCAATTTATTAGGGAAAATATAGCCTTGCGTGGTTGGTTATACACGCGTGTGATCCAGGCAGGCAAAATTCGCCCACTTGGGCTACCAAAGCTGGAACTACGTAGAGAAAAATGAGAGGTCCTGCTCGAAACCCAGCGCTGTAAAAACCGCAGCAAAATGATAACGGCGAACCCGAACCTGCAAGTTCCTGCGCCTTGGAAGAAAAGAAGGCGCCCGCGAAAGCGTCCCTCTCCCTCCACTGCTGTGACGCCCGCACTGGCGCAAACACTGTAGGCTAACGATGCCGCAACGACGACGATTAGGTCTCTCTAGAATGCGGAGGAGGTGGGGAAACAACTCCCACCAATCCCCTCCCCCTCCGCAAGCTGTCCGAACGTGTCGACTGAAGAGACAGCCCAGACACAGAGGAGGGAGGGAGAGCCCTCTCGTATCAGCCGTCGCGAGATCCACCTTCCTTAAAAGGATTTGGTTGCATCTCGCGCGCTTCCTTCCTCCCTCTCCGTTACAAACATCCCACGGAGCCAACAGCCCCGCCCATCAAGCTTTGGGAAATCTCGAGCACATCATATCGCGAGGATACCTTTTTTTAAAAAAAAAATTGCCCTACTTCTCTCTCCTTGGGGGCCCTCGAACTCTCGCGCCCTTTTTAGAGGGCCATCTCGCGAGATTCCGCCGGCCTCCTCCTCCCCCCCCGTCTCTCGTGGAACACGATGCGACGCAGGAATGTGAAAGGCTCCCGCCCGCCGCCATTTTCTTTCTTTCTTGGCAGGCAGGGAGCGCGGTAGGCAGTGGCGAAGCGGACATGTCGGATTACTCTACGGTGCCCCCTCCGTCTTCGGGCGCGCCCGGGGGCGGCGGAGGAGGTGGCGGAGCAGTTAATGATGCTTTTAAAGACGCGCTGCAACGGGCTAGGCAGGTGTGTATTACGAACGCTGACTCTGTGGTTGGCTTGCTGGCCGGCCGGGCGCCTCAGGCCCTCAAGGAGGCCGCTGGTCTCCGGCCCGCTCTTCGGCGTCCTGCGCAAGGGCGAAGGGGGCACGCCCTACCGCCACCCCTTACGCCGCTGTTCCCGCTCTGTTCAGCCTTGGGGCGGGTTCTGTTTTTCGGACTTTTTTCGGTGCTGCCGCAGTGGGAGCAGCGGTTATCTCGCGGGCAACGGAGACGTGGAAAGAAGGTCTGAGAACAAGACCTTCGTTTCATCCACGTTCAACAGACGACCGGGTTGCCAGTGGGAAGCTTGGAGGCGCCTGGCCACCTAGGGGTGGGCCATCCGCCATCCCGCATCTCATATTATGGGAGAAGTTCTTCCCGAGTTCCTTTTTCTTTCCTTTTCCATCTTTTCCTAATGGCGGCGTCCTTTATACACGGACGAACTGAAGCAACGGCGAGGGCGGGTGTGTCCGCCTTTCTGATTCTTTTAACCGCCCTTTCTCCCTTCCTCGGCCCCCCTGATGGGTTTCTGAGGAAGGTCTCCGGATTTTCGTGCATTTAATTGTTCGGCTGGTTATGTTCTTCCTTATAAGCACTTTCGCCACATATTCGGAAAGGAATTAGAGCTGATAAACGATGCGAGGGGTTAACGTGCGTTAACTTTGAAGTTGTTAGGTTTTCAAGATATCTTCCCCGATTTTATTAAGAATTTCCTTTCTTGCACCCACCCGAAATAGAGAGAACCCAGAATATCATTAACGGACAGAAAAAAAATCGGCTGTCGTTTTTTCTTCCTTTGCTCTCCATTTCTTTCATGATATAATATTTCTTCTAATCCACTTACAGTTGGTGTTTGTGTGTGCTGAAATCACTTTTCTGCAGTCTGTAAAACGACAGTGAATTTCTAAACGAAAACGAAATACTTTTAATTTCCATAAGTACTTACATAAGTAGGAGATACCAGGGTTCTCAGAGAAAATGGAAATCACAGTTTCTGGGTTTATTTGTGGTCTGGAGGAAAAAAGATCCCACCATGCAACCGGAATAGTTGATCTCCATTAATTTCTGCAAATGGGTAATAGCTCAGTGACAGAACAGCATCTCAGGTTCAATTATTGGCATTTCCAGATAGCAGCACGAAAATATGCTAATTATAACTCTGAGAATATTGCTTGTCAGAGTTGGCAGCTAGATGGACAAATGGTCTTACTCAACATAATGATGGTTCTTTTGATCCTAAACACTTACGTTCCTCTGAAATAGTTGAAGCTGTCAGTATTCTTGAGAGTTCTTGATATTCTTCAGTTTATTTTTTTGTGAAATGTTCTTGATTCATTGGAATAGCAAGACTACCAATATCAGGGTGTTGAAGTCAGTACAGTATTAGGGAAGGAGTCCTGTGTCTGGGAATAGGTTGGATCTATATATCCAGAAATTACATATGGCACGCATCTCTCTTTGCACTCCTCATCTCTTGGTTAGATTTTGTAGAATTTTTTTTCATTCTGAAACCAACCATGAATGAACATATTAGCTATAGGTATTGTTGATGGTAATCATGTATATTTAGCACTTGCTTATCTGAATCTCAAAGTGTGTGCTATGTACCATCAAGTTGGAACCAACTTGTAACAACCCTAATAGGGATTTCAAGGTAAGTGAGATATTTAAGGAGTTGTTTTACCTCTCCACACCCTCAATGAAGGTAGCACACACACTAAATATCTAGTTCTTCAGGGAGCTCCCCTTGTTGTCAAATGATGAACATGCAGAACAACAATCTTCTGTCAATACTGTACAGCTTGATAAGCACAATTTGATGCTTAATGGATAGTCCTTAATGCTAAAGCCGCTATTTGTTTTGTTTCATAATTATGCTTTTATTTGAACCATTGGTATGTAAAATACGAAAATTGTTATCTCTGCCTTTGTCCTTTTTTCAGATTGCAGCAAAAATTGGAAATGAATCAGGGTCATCAGTCAATTCAAATGATTACAGTTATGGGGGACAAAAAAGACCTCTTGAAGATGGAGGTATGCTGTTAATATATTAAAGATGGTACTATAATGAGCAGAAATATGTATCAGAGTACATATTAATTATTTTCATGATAGTTTCTGAAAATAGTTGCATGATAAAGTGGAATTGTCCATCATAAATGTAGATCCGGTCTTCAGTATGAAGATGTGATAAAATTAATTGAATTATGCAATTATGTCTGTGACTAGAGAATTACATTGAAATGGATATTCATATAATTGATATTATTAGAAATATGTGTTAAGGTAGGTAACATGTATTGCTAAAATGTGTGAGTAGTATGTACTGTGTTTTGAAAATTAACAAGTTCTATAATGATTTCTGGAGAATTTGTTTTTTCAAAGATTAATGAGATTTGGTGTTTAAGTTGTATTGTACAGGTGGAGCTTTTTAAAACAGTACATTTCACTGGAAAGATGTGCATTAAATCTGTTCTCTGTTTTGGAGGAAAATGACTTTAGACTGTTTGAATCCTGATGATATCTTGATCTGATTTTTTCTTCTTCTAAGACACATAGCAATATGTTGCAAGTGTTTTTTTTTAATCTTGTAAGATTAACTGGCTTTAATATAGTTATTTAAAAGTATTGTGTAATATATTTTCAATTCATGAAGATGGTTTCTCATCTTGGAGGATTATGTAGGTTTTGAAGGATTATACTTTTGTTTACATAAAAATTTTAAGGCTCTTGAGAAGGAGTACTTGTGTACTTTATTTAAGTGCCTTTTTATTAGTAGTGAGGGTTTTAATATTCAAAAATGAGCTAATGATGCTTCAAATGATGTATGTAATGTATTCTTTTTATTTTATGTGTAGATGGCTCTTGGACAAGTCCGAGCAGTACAACACACTGGGAGGGAATGCCCTCTCCTTTTAAAGGCAGGAATTTTTATTTATTACCTGTGTTTAGTATGTAAACGTGAAATGAACTAGTGGATCTTTTGAAATGGATGACACAGATATTTCATGGAATATGTGTCTGACTTTTACTGCACTTAATCATGGTGGTTCATCATATATTCCTGAATATGGGGTGGGAAGTACACATTCAAAGTAATTTTTATCAGATATTGGTTATCTACGACTTTCACTCATACTAAACGTATTAGGATAATAGTGGCTTTGAATTTGCTGCTTTGAAACTTTATGCCATGAAATTTTTAGTATATGGCCAAGATGTCTGTGTGACAGTTCCCAAATTGAGATTATATTGCTATGTGATGGTTTGATTTTCTACTCAGTATTGTGGTTGTTGTCAGACTTAATTGTAAAATGATTATTTCTTACAATTGTGGTTGTTTCAGTTTTTGTTACAGAAGCATCATTAGCTTTAGTGTCAAATTACTAATCCTAGATAAATGTTTCTTATAGTTTAGGGAATGGATATTCTTAATAGATGGTGTAAACCCGTATGCTTTATTAAACTGTTGAATACCCTACCTGAGAAATGGAACCACTTTGTTTTTCCCTGACTATACTAACCAAGTGTTAAACATAAAAGATTTTTCCTTGTTTAGATGACCTATTCCCTGAAATTTCAAAAACTTGCTAAAATGCATTGGACAAGTTGCATTTTGCACTTCTGGAACAGCCATTTATTTCAGTAACCTATATTTGGTACCAAAAATGTTTTTAAAATCTTGATCGTTGCAGATCAACCAGAACCCAAGAAAGTTGCTCCTCCAAATAATGACTGTAAGTATTATTAAGTTTGGACTTCCTTTTTGGGATGCTTTTCAGAATTAGTGTGTCGTGTAGATAATGATTGGCATATTACTGTTTATTTGCATGTATTGGTTGCTCATGGGCATCAGACTTCCCCTCCCATATGTACGTATCAGCTTCATTGTAGGATGATTTTGATTGTTCTGCCTTAATTATCGTATTGTACATACTTGGATTCAGATCCCTGCTTGGCCATGGAAACTCTGGTAGAACCACTCCTTAAATTTCTAACTACGGATGAACACAATGTACTTTCTGCCCCTTCATCATAACTTGTCTATGGAGTAGTATAGTTGCTGCACATTCCTTTTCCCCACCCCCACCCCTTGCCAGCATCTCCTTGACCAGCTGGCACTTGTTGCTCATTCCCACTGCACAATCTACCAGTCCAGGCAGGAGCCCAGACTTCCCTTCTGCACCTCCTCCAGCAGCTGGCTACTCAGACAAGGAGGCGGGGAAGGGATTCCTGCAGCACTGCCTTTGAGTGGCCAGCTGCTGTAGGAAGTGGAGAAGAAAAGTACACGGTCCTGCACTGATTGATCATGCAACAGGGAGGGAAGAAAAAACACGTGCTTACTAGTGAGTGAAGGTGCTGGCAAGGGGTTGTGGGAAGGGAATGACAGCTTATGACAAAGAGACATGAAGTACTTCGTGCCCTCACTATCTAACATACTTTGAAAACCCTATTAGGGCATAAGCCAGAATTGACTTGACAGCACTTAACAGTTAAAAGCTTCAGATGACTCAGAGCGAGGCAGCTAGGTAAATATATCCCAAGACTCTGAATCACAGTTAATTTCAGTATTTTTAAAATCGGCATCTTCTTACATTTAGTACTTTTTCAAAATTTGTCTGATTGGAAT